CAACAATGGACAGAAAATATGGCGGTGTATCTTACCATGTTCTAGCTGAGAATTCATTCTCATTTTGCTCATTTGGAGAGTCGTATATTCTTATTTGGACATAGGACCTGGCTCCGCTACTCACCAAACATCCAAATGAGACTGAATCCTCCGCTATGACATGGAAAGATAGTAAGATACATCGCCATATTTCTTTGTCTTGTGTGCATATGGAGAATAGTAAAATCAGGATGAATCTTCCGCCAGAACATGGAATGATGCATCACCATATTTTTTGTCTTTTGTGTATATGGTCGGTAGTGGAGCGAGGCCCATGGTCAGTAATGAATCCATGTTGCTTTGTGCTTCGCTACTATGTACTTGCATTCGAACATCGGGCGAGGAAGAACACCCCAGAAGCGGAAAAAGACAAAACACTGCCAGCACAACGACCCCGCCAACCGTGTGTAGCGACATGCACGCATCAGACGCTGAAACGGAGCCAATGGCCGGAAAAACAAAACAGAGGGCATACTCACATTAGCACGTACTTCTGCAAATTTTACGTATGTGAATTTGCGTTTATATGGCACCGGCGCGTCACACTGCTCACCCGTTTGTTGCCCAAAGCAGAAAGGACAGGGTCGTGACCTGGCCTTGAGATGCGAAAATATGTTGTGTGCAGTCAGACAGTACAATGCACTTTAATTTATTTTGTTTCGCTTCCAGAAAGCAGTAGAGGGAAAAAAAAAACGATTTTGTGGGGACCTCTGGAGGTCCTAGCAATATATGTAAGCCCACGGCTGTCCAGGCCGCTGACATTTACATGCCCTTTTGTGTGAACACGCAAAATACATGCCTTTTGTGACCCGAAAAACTACATAAAATTTGGGATTTTGCGAAAATACGTGGTAGTGTGAGTGTGCTCAGAGAGGAAAAAACAGTGCGTCGTGAACCCAGGAACCTTGAAACTTCCCGATGAATCTAGGCCGCCAGAAACCTCCAAACGTCCAATGAATCTACCCCACGGAAGGGGCCCGGTCCCTATCCCGCTTGTTTTCCCAACACTGCTAGCTGGGCTTCGTGGGAGCGTTATGCAAGACCCTTCGTGTCCTTTATAAGGAGAGAGAAGAAGACTCTTTCATGGACAATTGGCCTGGCTCCACTACACACTACATGCATAAAAGAAGAAAAAAAATATGGCGGTGTATCTTCCCATGTTTTTGCAGAAGATTTCTTCTCTTCTCCTTTTGCACATTTGGTGAGTATTGGAGCGAGGCCCAATTGATCATCAGTATGCTCTATATGAAGGAATCTTTTGCATTGATCATTGTTTTCTGGATCGTTTCTTTGACAAACAACCCCCTGGAGAGCATCAACTCCATGATTGAAACGGCAGCCAGGAGGAGCTCAGTCCTAGTAGGAAATAGGATTAGATTAAGCTTGCCTGAATCTGGATTTTGTTTTATGCAGGGATGCAGAGATGCAGAGAAGCAGATCAATCGTGATTTTCTACGCCTCTCCACAAACACGTCCAAATTCAGGCATAAAATCCAATGTTCTTTGTTAGTTGCACCTCCGCGCAGATCATCTCTGATCCGATAGAGGGATAGCGTGATCTGTCACTCGTTACTCAATTTCAAAGTCAAAAGTACCGTCTCACAACCGTCACATGCGTCCAAACCACTTGGTAATGGGAATCTTCTTTTATATACAAAGGGAAGGGATTGCGGGTGGCAGGCAGGATCAGGCTGGGGACTTTACCCAGGGGCCTGGTCCCATTAGCAAAGAGGATTGAGTTTAACTCATGAATCTGTATGTGTTTTGCGAAGAGATGCAGAAAAGCAGCTAAACCGCAATTCTCTGCATCTGTCCTCAACCACGTCCAGATTCAGGAATGAAATCCAATCCTCTTTGCTGATGGGACCCGGCCCCAGGGGGAATGTTGTACTTCGCAATCTCAGAGATATGGAAATGGGAAAAAAAAAAAAAAAGCAAGATCTTAGGTCCATGAACAAGGCGCACACATAAAAAATAAAAAGAATGGGCTCACACAAGTGGCTGAATGGTACACACATGTAACTGTTTATAAAAGGATCACGAGTTGGGATCCTGGCCGAGTTAGACCGGATGAGTTCAATGAACTTGGATGACATTAGGGTCTTCTACCTCCCTTCAACAAAAAAAAAAGGTAAGATTTTATATCCATGCAAAATGCTTGAAGAACGGTAAAAAAAACCGTTTTCTGTCCGTTATAGACTTATAGTGTCATTTTGCATGATGAGATGATTAGATGCTGTGATGTGCAAAAGGTGCGACCAGCGTGGTAGTATAGGCCTCGCCACACTACTCAGCAAATGTGCCAAATGAGAAACGAATCTTCTGCTACAACATGGGAAGATGCACCGCCATATTTTTTGTCTTTTTGTGCATGTGGTGGTTAGTGGAGCGAGCCCCGTAGTATGGGCCTATCCGCACTACTCACCAGATGAGAAAAAGACAAAAATGATGGTGTCTATATCTTGCAACATTGTAGCGGAGGATACGTTCCCATGTGGCGAGTAGTGTGGCCAGGCCCTATGTCTCTGCACATTGGTGAGTATCAAGAGCCGAGGAGAGGAGGAACGGGGGCAGAGAAGGCACGGAAGGAGGATGGGGAAGACGGCAGAGAGAGGAAACGATGAAGGAGAATTTTTCGAGGTTGGAAAGCCTTACCCAGCCCATGTGGGTGAATGTTACACACACGTACGTAGCTGTCATTAAACCACCAGTACTTGGCCCAGCTATCCCAGCCGAGCCTGGAAGTGCCCTGCGCGCCGTTTCCCGCCGAAGCACCAATTCCATTTTTGTTTTCGGAAAGGCTGGCGGCGCCAGTCTTCTAGGTCCGGTTACCCGAAGCGCGAACTTCGCGTAGCGTTAACGCTAAGGCCCGCGGCCGATATATGGGCCAAGTACTGGTGGTTTAAACAGATGATGATGAGTTCAAATCCTGATGGAATCAGAAATATTCAATAACGTTAGCAGCTACCTCTTTAAAAAGAAGGCTGGAAACTTCGAAAGGCTGGGCTAATGATAGGTCGTTCTTGTTGTGTGTGAGCAGGAGAGAAGTGGCTGAGATCGACGGGCATAGCTCAGGGCATACTCACACTAGAACGCATTTTCATAAAAAATCTTAAATTATAGGTGATTTTTTGGGTCACAAGAGCTACAAATTTTGCGATTTCACGCAAATGGGCACGTAAATGTCAGCGGCTTGGACAGCCGCGGCGGGGTTACGTATTATGTGGGAACCTCTGGAGGTCCCCACAGTTGCGTATTTATTTTAGACCTGTTTCTTTCTGGAAACAAAAAAAAGAATTCGACGTTTGGTGGGCAGCTCTCGTAACGGGGGGGAAAAAAAACAGGAAAAAGGGACGGATTTGTATGCATCGTGCTGTGTGACTCCTCGGCCCGTATAATCGCATTCCTAGAGCAGGTCTCGACTGTGTCCTTTCTGTTCTGTGACGTATACGGGTGTGCTGTGTGACTGGGAAGTACCGTATAATCGCAAATTGGCTCACATATAATTTGCGATTGTACGTGCTAGTGTGAGTATGCCCTCAGTTGGTACACCCACGAACTGTTAAACTGCAGACCCAAGTTCAAATCCAGATGCAATGACAATGAACAGAATAAAATAATTCCGAAGTACCTGGGGCCAGTCAGTCAATGATGATATGGCAAGCGCATCACCCGTCGTTTTTTGTCTTTTAAGAAAAAAAGGTGTGGCTGAGGACTAGAAGATGTCCATTGGAGATGGACGTGCCAGGGGATTGAGCTGGTGATACATTGAGGTGCTGATGTGGCACGCAAAGGCGGAAGCAGTGGGGTTGTGGTTGGTGAGGTTGTGACAGCAGCACGGTGCCACTGACAGGTCCAAGGACTGATGAGTCAAAGCATTGGCAGACTCAGGCAAAGGGGTAGGAGAACAGTAGGGAAAAGTGCTGGCCATAAATTCATTCAAGTGAAGAGGGATATTCTAGTAGAGTATAATACGAAAAATCTTATAAATTTATAAAATAGTTTTTCTTTTTTTTCTGTTAACCCAACTTAACAGCTGTTGGACTCCTTTTTTTTTTTTTTTTTTTTTTTTTTTTACGTACAGAAGTTGGATTGACCTTGTTTCTCATATACTCAGACTAGGCCCTTATAATAGCAGAATTGCAAAATCAGCGGCCAGATGTTTTAGGAGTCGTCGATCTGGCTGCTCATTTTGCTATTCTGCAATTTTGAGGGCCTGGTGTGACCGTACATTCTTATGTATCCCTACCACTTGCACAAGTGAACCCACCAAACCCCTTTCCGTACCTAGCTGGTGTGGCTGAATGGTGCACGCCATGTACCTGTGGATAAACAGATCATGAGTTCGATTCGTGACTGGAAAAAAGGGAAAAATGAAACCTGTTGCCATCTATAAGAGAGACTGGCCATCAAACTTCGTTTTCTACCAACATTATATCCTTTAATCTGTGCAAGTGAGGACTGCCCCAGAGAATGAGTCAAATAAGGGCGTGAAGCACCACCACTCTGGCTTATTTATTTTATTTCATATTTATATAAGATCTTGCCTGAAATGGTAGCAGATAAACACTAGGTGCAAGAATCTTGTAGGTACCCCCCTAGGTGGAACCCCCAACAGCCTGTTGCCGTTCTTCTTCCCCCTCCTCCTCCCTCCCGCCCCCTGTCTTCATTGTCTACCAAAAGTATCTCTTAATCCGTGCAAGTGCGACCTTGCCCCAGATCTTGCCAGAAAAAAAGGAGAGCAGATAAACAAAAAATCCAACGTGCGAGAATCCTGTAGGTAACGCCCTAGGTGGACCCCTCAACAGCCTGCTGTATGTCCCCTTTCCCTCTCCCACCCCTTTCCCCTAGCCTCCCCCCTTAACACCACCACCACCTCCACCAATAAGATGAGGTCTCACTTTCGGCTGTGCGGTTGTGTGGTATCCACCTTTGCTTTTGATGGATTATCACTATGTCAGATCTTGGTGAGATACCGGGGTGCTCTGCCAGACCTTTTCAGAGAGGGGCACAGTATTGTGGCGGAGGGATTTCTGAAACCTATTCCAGCCGGGGGCATGATTGTCCCTGGAGGCGACGTGGCCGTCGGTGTACGGGGTGGCTACAGAGAAGATGAGATTGCTTCAACTGATCTTGGGGAGAGAGCAAAGAAGGATTGCGGGTGCTACTTTGCCGCATCAGAAGTCCTGGCCAAACATGACGAGGTATGTATACATGAAAATTTGCAACAAAGTTGCCTGGGTGCCAGGCTCGGCACTTCGCATCATTCTAACGAGATGAGAGAACGCTAAGGGCCTTGCCATAAGCGTCATGAAGCGTGAAAATGGTGCGTGCATCTTTTGCACAGAAAATTTGTCAGTCTTCCCCCGAACACAATACACCCTGATTGTGACTGCATCGGATCAGAAAGATGGGCCGTATGCATTCAGAATCAGAGTGCATTGTGTTCGGGAGAAGACGGCAGGAACAGTAGCAGATGTATCTTGGCCCCTTATGTGTGAATGAAGATCCACTCGCGATTTTTCACGTTCCGTGAAGAGTTTTTTTTTGAGGTTGAAGAGATTCTCAACCAAACCATTGCAGCTTATAAACCCCTTTCATTTCATAAACTAATGCGAGGATTGAGCCCAGATATTATCAACCAAACCATTGCAGCTTATTATCCCCTTTCATAAGCTAATGCGAGGATTGAGCCCAGATATTCTCAACCAAAGCATTGCAGCTTATTATCCCCTTTCATCAGCTAATGCGAGGATTGAGCCCCTTGCACTGGCTTGCAGGGCCATTCAGGGCGCGACACCCGACAGGAAAGGGGCCCCCAGCAAGCCTCGTGCCTGCACTGAGTGAAGGCGGGCCTGCATTTTAACATGAGGCCCTATTTTTGTCATTTCTGCACATGGGAGCGCCAGACAGTTGCCACGCGCCAGTTGGTTACAAGGCCCATGTCTGTGGGATCACGACATTCAGAGCCTTTGGGCTCTCACCAGGGCAGCGATGTGGCCAGAGGCCTTTCGGCCAATGACATTGCAGCAAGCGATGCTGGCCACGTCGCACAGTTGGGCTGGTTAACTGTTGCGGCCCAGGCCACTGTCTGCATTGGGCCTGGGCGCAGATGCTGGGGGCCGACCAGAAGCTGCTGGAAACACGGTCGCCAGGCCTCAGGCAAGCCAAGGCTGGGCGCACTTTCCGTATAGGAAAGTGCTTGCCTCGTGGCAGCACATTCTGGCTGGGCGCAAGTGGGCGGACACGCTGCTGGTTGGTAGTGCTGGCAGGCTGCCTGGGAGCGGGCTGGAAGAGGCGCACACGGGCACAAGAGGAGAGAGGGGCGCTGCGGTGGCAGTGGGCGAGAGACGCCATAGCCGGGCCTGCTCGCAGTGGCTGGTGTGGGCGATGGTGGTCTTTGGGAGGAGCTCAATGTGGGTGGTGAGGAGGTGATGAGGGAAACAGAGAGGAGAGACGTACGTGGTGTATGCGGCAGTCTGCAAGGGCAACTTTGTCACGTACATTGGTCTTCAACTTGAAGTGGTTCCTGCTGCATGTTGTAGAGCAGACTAGAGTAGGTTCTGAGTAGATGTAGGCAGGGCGCTGGGCGCCAATCAAGCAGGGGGACATCGGACACATTGTCGATGGTGGCAAGAAGAGGCTGACATTGACATTTGCGTTCATTGTATTGTCCTTGTTTGGCTTATATCTCAGTGAATTGTGCTTTCTTCTTGGGACACGACTATCTGGTCTTGCAATTTGATTTTCTGTCTATCCGTCTCGCCCATTTTCCTTGCACTAAATTTATGCTCCCAACATAGATGTGTGATTTATAATAACTTTAACAATTAATAATAACTATATACTATATAGTATATATACATATGACTCACATTTTTCGAGATATGAAAGTCAAGTATGCATACTAAGCAAGTTTGAGAAGTTTTGGAAGACTTTTTTTTTCCGGTCTATTCGTGGGGAGCAGCACGTGCTGGGAAGTGGGCCCAGCGTCCCTTATGAAAAATACATCGTATTGGAACATTTGGCACATTTGGCACATTTGGCACATTTGGCACATTTGGAACAATTGGAAACCCTTCCTGCCAGCATTGATTACCCTATTTGAAGCCTGCTCTTTTTTTTTTTTGGCCTTTTCTTTTAAAAGGGCGATGGCGTTGAGATATGTGGCATACTGATACCACACGGGCCCCAGTTAGGGCCCGGTTCTGTAGCAGGCACGGTTGAGGCCTAGTTACCGGGTCACAATGGGCCCAGTTTAGGTCCAGGTAGGCCTAGGACCGGTCGGTTCAGTTTAGGGTCCGGTAGGCCTCGTTTAGACCCCACCAGACCCAACGGCTAGTTCGTTTAGGCCAGGTACCGGTTCATCGGTAGGCCCAGCCAGCGGCGCAGTTTGGCGCCCATTTTCAGATTCTGAAATCGGATCTGAACCGTTGGGCCTGATCAACGGTCCAGACCCGAAGGGCCTCTGTAGGACTGAGGCCGACCCAGCACTATATCAGCTGGGTACCAGCCTCAGTCGGTAGGTTATCGTGGACAGGAGGTTAGTCTTCAGGATTAGCGCAGCATTTCAGCGTTAATAGAATTAACGCAGCGCTGCAGCATTTCGAGGAGCAGCGAGGGGAGAAGGAGCTCAGCGGCCGAGAGGGATTAGCGCAGCATTGGGAGCAGCGCCAGCTACTGGCCCAGCCCGCGGCCCAGCGCCAGCCCCTTGCAGCACCATAGCTACTGTAACAGGTACCAGGGAGAAAGGCTTCGCCTTCTCTCCTTCATCTTCCTCCACCGCTCTCTCTCTCTCTCTCTCTCTCTCTCTCTCTCTCTCTCTCTCTCTCTCTCTCTCTCTCTCTCTCCCCCTCTCTCCTACCTTCTCAGTCTAAGTCTACTCCTGGGTTCTCCTACGGGACTACTACCAGTATGAAAGATGGTTACGAATTCTGATCACATTGGAGACAGCGACATTGGGACTATAGGTTGAGGACTACTCGTGGGATCTGATTTCATCTTCCTCTGGAGATGTACTTGACATTGTGAGATCGGTATCTGAGACATTGTGAGACACTGTGTTCGCGACATTTCGGATTTTTGCTACCTCTGACATTTCAAGATACTATCTTTGGAAACATTGAGTTGACGTCATCTTCCCTCTCCTCCTCCCTTCGTCTCTCTCCTCTCTCCATTCGTCCGTGGATGATCTCAGACCCTGGCCTTTTGTCTATGTCCAAGGCCAGGGCTTTCACACCCCTGATGTATAATTGAGAGTGTTCGATTGCAGTCTGAGTCAGGTCCGAGTCAGTCCATGGGTATCAACTCTTCCGCTGTATTTGTATTAACTTTGTATTATCTGGTGTAATGACCCGCCCAAAACACAGACTGAGAACACTGCTGATTTCTGGGATTTGTCAATGGAATGAATGCCTTGTTGTGACTCCCGCATTCTGCTGTGGTCCCAAGTCTGTGTGTGTGCGTGCCTGCTGGTTTGCATGCCTGTCTGAGTGCTTGCCGGTTGTGTGTGTGTGCGTGCCTGCTGGGTTGCATGCCTGTCTGARTGCTTGCTGGTTGGGTATGTGCGTGACCCGCCAGGGTACTTGTTGGTTGCAAGGCCCACCGGGCCGGTACTTACCTGTGGCCGTGACTTTGAAGGGTTGCAGGGGGGTAAACATGCCGGTAGCGGGGAGTAGGCCCACGACACTTAGAGCAGCTGGGGAAAAACACTCAAGTAGCAGGTAGGCCGAGCAGAAGAAGACAAAAAGCTGGCATTTTTAGAGGCCCAGTAGCGGTAGGTTAGAGGTAGGCCGGTACCAGTCCAAGTAGCCCGGGTCTAGGGCCTGTGCGGACAATAACAGAGCCTGCAATGATGTTTCCCTCCAAAAGGGAGGAGGTACCGGTTGCTGGGAGACCGCTTGGCCTAGGAAGTCACCGCCCAGGAGGCCGGTAGGCCGCTATATCTTCAGGAAGAGCGGTGAGCTCTTCCTCATTTGCGGTATGCAAGGATTGGCGACATGCTGCTGGAGCGCAGCGCTGGTCTGAAGCAGCGCTGCTTGGAGGTGAAGGTCCGCTGGGGCTCAGCCTGGCTATGGCGAGCACCCCAGCTTGAAGGAGGAAGAAGGGGGACATGGTAGGAGAGTGGTAGGGCACTTACCTGGCTATGGTGGACACCGTCTTCATCACCTTGTTGGGCGCTGCATCTGGAAGGCCCCAGTTGGGGTAGCGCTGCACCAGGGCAGCTCAAGGCAGGGCCAGGCATAGCGGACCAAGTCAAGCAGCGGCATAGCTGCTTTGGGTTGTTTTCTGGACATCAGGGCAGCACCATGGCTGCCACCCAGTAGTCCACCATGGCCTATGCATGAGAGAGGAGGTTGAAGGAGGGAAGACATAGCCATGGTGGACTTGTTGTTGTTGTTGTTGTTGTGAGTTGAGTCAGCAGTAAGGGGGAACTTCGGACATTGATTCTGGTTCATCCATTCATTGTTATTATTATTGTTGAGAGAAGAATAAGATTGGTAAAGAGAAGGAGGAAGGAGGAAGGTGGAGAGAGAAGGGGGAATTGTCATTGGTCTTGCTGGTGTACTTCTTCTTCTTCTTCTTCTTCTTCTTCTTTACCTCTCCTCTGGTCTTTATCTCTTGCAAGTGCTTTCATTTTTTCGCAATTGGGTGGCATTGTCTTTCATTGTGAATTTGCACTTGGGAAATGACCAGGATCGTAACAATTGGTATCGGAGTGGACTTACTTGCTGGCGAGAGGTGTTAACCACCCTAACCCTAATTCCGAATTAGGGCTGACCTAATCTCAGATTAGGGTTGGGAAGTTAGGGTTAAGTGGGGCAGCGAGGTATGGGGATGCTGCCCCCACCTGGTTAGGTCATGTAGGGTTGACATTGGACCCAACCAGGTTGCTTGAGTGAATGTATGGGGTGGCGAGACACAAAGGAGGCTGTTTGGAGTAAGCGAGAAGGAGTAGAGAGTGAGAGGTACTCGCACCTAACTGGGCCCACCAAACTGGCAAATTTGCAAATTTGCACGAATTGGGCCACCTGGAGAGACATCTGCCCAATGCTGAGATAGGTGTGGTTAAAGGCTGACATGGCAAACAGACTCTGAATATGGCATTTCATCCCAAAAATTCTCTGCGGGAAAAATAGGGGGCAAAGGTTGAAGGGGCCGAAGAGAGGGGGAGAGGAGGGGGTGGAAAGGAGAGTTGGTTTCA